AGGGGAAAGCAGTGTGTAAGACGCAGAGTTGATTACGAATCCTAAGAATTGGACCATCCACTACGAAACACAACAATTCCAGCTGTACCATGGAGAATCGTGAATTTGACGCAGTCTTGAATTCTCTGGACCGAACAGAAGGATATCGTCCAGGTAAATAATGCATTGCATTCCCCATACGTAATTGATCTCTGGTTTCAGTAGTTTCTTGAAGCCCCTAAGGATCCAAGCTGAGGAGGCAGGTGAAGTGCCAAGGTTAATCACGTCACAGGAAACAGAGAATGTCATCAAGAAGGGTGGAAAGGGACCGACAGGATGTGTCTTCAAATCCAGTTTCGCAAGTCATACGTCTACATGAAGAAGGTTCCTTATTAAGTTTGAATGCCTTTCACCTAAAAGCAATGGTATCTCATGTGGGCATTGTAGAAAGTACAGTCGATGCTATCCTAGGGACGCTTACCTGAGGAAAACAGGATCTAGCACATATGCATATTTCGTGTTCTCTGTCTGATCATCTGGAGCACCAGAAGGTTGTCTCACACCCACTTCGGGTAAAGAGCTTGCGATAGTGAGGTACAGGGGTCAGATGGCCTGAAGGGGTTGGCAACATGTACGCGCTGTCGACCAGCCCTGTAGAACACCCCCTAGGGAGGTTAGCACATAACACCTTCCTCATGTAGGTTAAGGTCTTGATGAAGGAAGCGAGAACATAAACGTGTGCAATAAGCTCCCTCAGGAAAGAGCGTGCCTTATGCCTGGCATCCCAATGTTTTGGCGCAGAGGTCTACCAACTATCCGTCAATACGGAGGAGTGCTGCTATGCGCTTCTCATAGGAGAGACAAACATTGTTTTTTCTGACAAAACAGAAACATCTCTGAGCCCATTCACTAATATTGTCAGGTATTTTACCCTTGAGAGGGGGTTAATAGAGTCCAGCAATTTGTCTTGGGTATCTCTGAAACCTCTCCCAACTCCCAGAACCATGAAGGTCATCATCTGCTGATCTGCCCCACTCTATCTGGGAGAGTAGGGCATGGGCAGTCCGACCGCAAGCGGTTACTGACATCTTTATCTAGAGGCTTGCAAAACCACAGGTGCATAAAGTTGGCCAGGTGTTTGAGAGTGGACCAGTCTCTCGAACATGGGTGACGGATGTTGTATGGTACACAGCCATTAACCAGTAGGATCCAGGAATGCTTCCGTGTCTTCTTGGTCAGTAGCGTGTGAGGCACCGTCACCTTCAGCTACCTGGGGCTCACCCAGAAAAACCTGTACATGAAAGCAGAGCCATGCAACAGCATGCCTCCACTCAGCAGCACACTGCAGGACACATATAGTAGGGGGGCTCACCCCAGGTGCACAGGGAATGAACCCATAAGTGCCAGCCATTGCCCTGACAGACAGCACTGATCTGTGCTCAAGCGGTTAATTCAAGGTTATGGGAGATATCCCTTTAAGCAGTATGTCCTGGAAATCTTGTCCAGCAATTAACAGAGGCTGCAACAGCATGCCTCCACTCAGCAGCACAGTGTAGTATAAATATAGCTGGGGGCTCACCCAAGGTGCACAGGGTATAAACCCTTCAGTGCAGCCCACAGCCCTGATTGAGCACAGATTTGCACTAATGGAGTTTAGAATTGAATAAAACAATTCTGAAATGCCCTGGTTCTTCATGATTAACCTTGCAACAGCCAGGCCGTCAATCTGAACATTCAAATTGTTTTCTCCGGAAGAACTACATTTTCAAGGAGTTGATCTGAGAAGGGAAACTCCCAGTAGTACAGTGCCATAAGTCGCCATGCAGAGAACCAGTTTGGGTTTGGCCAGTTGACAGCTTGTTCTGCTTTGATCTCCTGTAAAGTTCTCAGGATCATTGGGATAGGAGGAAAAAGGTATGCCAGACTGAAACGCCAGGGGACCAACATGCTGTTCAAAACCTGAGGGTTGTCCTGTCTGAAAAGTGTAGTAAACTTCTGCACTTTTCTGTTTCTCCTCCTTGCCATTAGATCTATTACCGGAAGACCGAATCGTTCTACTATTTCTGAGAAGACCTGACATGTAGAGACCAATTTTTTTGTGACCATTTGTTCCTGCTGTGGTCGTCTGATACCACATTTTCTTTGCCTTTTATGTGAACTGCTGAAATAGATACCAGGTGTCTCTGGGGCCACATCATAATCTCCCCACAAAGAATGTGCAGGCCTCTGATTTTGTACCTCCCTGACGGTTGATATATGCTACCGTCGTGCTGTTGCCGACTGTATCATTACTGCCTTGTTCAAAATCCAATGTTTGAATTTTACTAGGGTATACCAGACTGCTTTGAGCTCTTTGTAATTGGAAAAGTGTTTTCTTTCTTCCGGATTCCATAGCCCGTGACGGAATTGTGAAAGCAGATGTGCTCCCCATCCTAGTTTTTATGCATCCATTGTGATAATCATGTACTTTTTACTGGAAAGGAAAACCTATTGACAGGAATTTTGAATGTTTCCACCAAAATAGCGGTTTTCAGGTTTCCGTCGAAAGGCTGAACTTTGCATATAGCTCTTTGTCCCTTTTTGTCCAATGAGATAAAATTTCCCATTGAAGTGGATGTATTGCCGATCTGGCCCATCTAACGGCCGGAATTGTAGATGTCAAAGTACCCAGAACACTCATTATGGTGTAAACTTGTACTTCTTGAAGAAACAAAATTTTTTCCTCTATTTTCTGCCTTTTTCCCCAGAGGGAGGTGCAGAAAAAAACGTCTTGGCATCTATGATGAAATCTATGATGATGGTTCCTGAAGCAAGTCCCACTGAATGTGCCGACAATTTTAGGCCTTCCTCAGATAAATCTTGTATAAAATCATTAACCAGCTTTATGTTATGCAAAAGATGAGGAATTTCTTTTTCAGACTATTCCATCAGGCAACTCTCAATTTCTTGAAGCCAAACTTTTTGTGCTCTCATGACAGATACTCACACAATTGCAGCTTTACTTTGAAATCCCGTTGTTTGGAAGATTCTTCTGCAGGACGTCTCCGGTCCTCTGTCCATTGGATTTTTAAGATTCCGATATCTCACTGATGGGTAGAGTGGTCTGTGACAAAGTACCCTTCGCCACGTGTGCCTGGAGAGGACTAATTGCCAGCCTCCTACCTTGTGACTATGGCCCCTGAGAACATTTTAATTTAGTCTAACGCGGTCAGCGGTGTGTGCCACTGAATCTATGGAACTGATATCGGCTACACATTTAGATGAACGCCGCTGACCAGTACCTTCTTGTCCACTTCAACACTGCGGCTGGTTACTAAGTCCCGTTCGAATGGAACTTATTCATTTTTTCAGTGTAAAATAGACCGACCGCACAGCCCAAATCTATGGAACTGTTTTGGGCATGGAAATGTGCTTGCAGTCGGTCACAATGGACTTCTGTCTAACTTTTTATCTACTTTATCTCATATTTTTATGATTTTTGAGTATGTTTATATTTAAATGATGCTGGTTAATAATATTTTTTTATGAAGATTGGATGTGTGGTTTTAAAGTTACAGTGTATGTGTAAAAACTGTATATTTTCTGCCTGTGATAATTAAGTTTGTCTATTGTGTTGAGATAATTGTATCACAGGCAGAGGGGAGGATTTCTGCTGGGATGAATGGGAGTGGTTTACTTTATTGTATGTGTTGTAGTGTTTTTATTGGTTGTTCTGAAAAACCCTGTGGGTGGTCCTAGGGGAAAAGCTGCATAAAAGAAGGCCCTTTGGTGCCAAGTAAACAGTTCTTCTTGACCCTCAACACGTAGTCTTGTCTTGTGATTGGAGGGGACAGCTATACTCACACTGGAGATTGCTATGCTTTGCATACACCCATGAGCTTTAATCCCTTAGCTCTTTAAAGAGCTGGTTGCTGATACGCTCTCCTGGAGGAGAGGTCTTCTCCACAAGGTCCTGGAGGACAGAAGCTGATCCAGGGTGGACAGAAGACAGCGAGACTCCAGTTAAGCTACGGCGGTTATGGAGTCTGCGGTGGTTGTGGTGTCCAGTGCGGTGCTTGTGGTCCTTGGCGCAGGCTAGGAAGCATCCATCAACGGAAGGTACTCGATTGGAGTACGGGGAGTTCCGTTACATGGTCTTTATGGACAGTTGTGCCACTTGCGTATCTACATTAGGTAGATCTTCCTAACTTAAACCTTCTTGAAGTCTGATAAGCTCCCTAAAATGTTTGGAAATGAAAGTCCTTGTGATCCTGTATTGCAATTAGCATGGTCCGTTAGGGTATAAAACATGCGCAGTCTTTTGGTTTTAATATAACTCCTGGCAATTTATTGAGAAATCCGCTCAAGAGACAGCAGCAATACAAAAGAAACAATAATGTAACTGAATTCCCTGCAAATGAAAACCTTACTGACTTTTCAATCTCTATCTATCAAGGGTTAAACTTTACAAAGCACAGGTTCCACCAACCTTATCTGCTGTTTCTTTTCTGCACTCCAGTGCTTAGTCACCTTGACTATAAACTTTCTGCCCTCCAATGTTCCAAGCCAGCCTGCTGCTTCCAAACTCCAAAGGAGAAACCACAAATCTCCCTTACCTGCCTAGCAGGGAGGGGTTTATTCCCACTGCTGCAGCTGATTAATTGCAGACAAGCAATGGGTTGGAGACAGCCTGCATTTCTGGCCTTGACCTTATGTCTCCCAGTTAATTGTAAACTGGGGAGTGGAGCACCGGCCCACCCTACTCTCCGAATGCTCCACCCCAGGGGCCCACATCTAAACATTCATTTAAGTTACATTCAACACATACTTCCCCTGAGGTTAAATGTCATATGCCTCTCCGAACAATTTAGCGGAAATATGAAACTTCCTCACAAACAACACCATTCACCATATCACACCCTTTTCTCAGGATTCTTCCATGTTCTATGAACAAATTCTAACAACTTTGGGTCTATTGGGAAACCCTTAATCTTCTTTTTTGAAGAATGATAACACCGCCGTTACCTCTTTAAGGAATATTTTTAGGTGTTCTGCAGGAAAACCTTCTTCCAAACTAGACGCCTCACAGATTTTGATGAGCATGTAGTGTCAGAGCATTCTCCTGATGACAACTCAGACAGGGAGGGAGATCTTTCTCGCTTACGTTTTTTCGAATGCCTCTCCTGAGAAGGAACTTGCATTTTAGCTGATTCTTTAAAAGATTCAAATGTCTGCGATAGGTTACCCTGGAACCAGTTAAGAAATATCTGCATATTCTGCTGTTTAGATTTTTCAAAATCTTCAGAGGCGTCGATATTGCACATTTTCTTTTTGCATCCATCAGGTAATGGAGTAGCGCATTCTGAACAGGTGTTATCTTTCCATATAAATGCAGGTGCTGACATTTTCTCCTTGTCCAAGTCTTTAGGAGACGATGGGCCATACATCTGCAATAAAGAACATAATTTTTAGAACTTACCAATCCAGAAGAGAAAAACAGATGCCTTTAAGGAAAAGAATTAAAAAAAAATACCTTAAAGACCTCGGAACCATGTGGGGGGGGATGGTGACACGGTATCTCCTCTCCAGACAACTTCATGCTTGCCTTGAGGGTTTGCAAGGTTTAAATAGGCACCAATTTTTGAACTGAGTGCCAAAAAATTAAAGTTCCAAATTGCGCATGCCCAGTAGCGCATTGGGAACTACGGTGGAACGCATGGTCGCCCAGGCGTGCATTCCACCACTATGCGCAAGCTCCAAGCTCGCAGTCCAATTGGCGGACCACCCAGGACCGCCTCTTACCAAGTGCCGGTGTACACGTGACATGAGAAGGCAGACTTTCCAACAGCTCTGTAAGCAGGACACAGTGAGGGTGACTCAGCTCTCCTCCCAAGGAGCTATCAGCCAGATCCCCCAGACAGCAACCTGTGCACCTCACCAGACTCCCAGTACAGTCAGCATGTCCACCCCGAATGGGACAAGAAAGAATACTGACGGTCCTGGGGTATGTTTTAAAGGGGAAGTAGGAGGAGCTATTTAAAAAAAATTAATTTACTTATTTACTGTCAGTTTGTCTATCAAGAGGATAAAAAACCCCACTGTCACTATATGCCAGGAAAATATTTTTAGCTTAATATTGTGAAAAAAAGTAAAAAAAATTGGAATGATAAAAACAGTGATGCACACATACAATTGCTTTTGAATGTGATGATATTTATCCTTATTCTTCAGGTTTTTATTGGAGTAAAACATACCTGGTGATGGATATACAAGTGTCACAGAAGGAGCACAATGGCGGCTAGCTTTTGCAACTACACGTGCCAGACAAAAATGGCCGTAATAAAATGCATTTCTCAAGTGCAGTTTGTTATATAAAAAAATGCACTATAGAAGTAGAACCTTTTATTCACGGGTTTTCTTGAACTGTTCCTAGTAGTGTTATTGTCCCTGGGCACAAAGCCCAACATGAATTGATTTGGCAGAATCATCTGGACCTGTTTTGCTTGAAAGGTACTGTGTGTGGTCCGTAAGATTCACATTCTTGATTCAGCTGTTGGATTCTAGGTTTTATGAGTCACATCATGGCACTAAAACATCAGCACAAAAAATAAATTCATAAAATAATTCTTTTTTAAAAAGGAACAATTTTTTTTTAATGGATGAGTTTAGTGGAATGATAGATATGTAAGTATGCTTTGATTTAAACTTCAAAGACCGGACTAAAATGTTCTTGTTTACTATGAAGAGAAAAAACTTAAAAAAAAAAAAAAAAACATATTTATTATTACTTTAAATATGATTATCTTGTTTTCAAATCAGAGCTTAAGTTACTTAAACATTGAACAACTCGTCCAAATGATAGATAATGAAATGAGAGCTACACATGCACTCTAACTTATCATAATTAATATTATTAGTGGATCTGAAGTAAGCCTTCAATGCTGAAAGATTTAGAGATTACCCACATTTTTAGAGGGAATGTAAAAGAAGTGCTGTCTTGCTATACTTATAAGACATATTTGAGAAGCACTTTTTTGAATATTGCAGACAAATCCAAGTTAAAGAATTTTGCATTATGGAAGTAAAGCTCTTGATCTGCAATGGTAAATGGATCCAGCCTGCCAAAGTCCATCATCATGTATTCTCTACTAAGTGAGGAGCAGATTCTGAATTATTTGTAGACAAGAATGGAATGCCTTATATTTGTTATTGAGGACTAGTGATGTCGCGAACACGAAATTTCCGGTTCGCGAACGGCGAACGCGAACTTCCGCAAATGTTCACGAACCGGCGAACCGGGCGAGCCGCCATAGACTTCAATGGGCAGGCGAATTTTAAAACACACAGGGACTCTTTCTGGCCACAATAGGGATGGAAAAGTTGTTTCAAGGGGACTAACACCTGGACTGTGGCATGCCGGAGGGGGATCCATGGCAAAACTCCCATGGAAAATTACACAGTTGATGCAGAGTCTGCTCTTAATCCATAAAGGGCAGAAATCACCTAACATTCCTAAGTCACACTGAATATGGATTGACACCTGACATATGACATATTGACACCTTGACATATGGATTGACACCTGTCCTCAGAGCCCCTGATGCACACGGACACAGAGCAGAATAGGGACGCCCTCCTACATAGGGTCACTTTGGCAGATATGGGATTGACACCTGTCCTCAGAGCCCCTGATACACACTGACACAGAGCAGAATAGAGACTGTTCCCCTACATAGGGTCACTCTGGCAGATATGGATTGACACCTGTCCTCAGAGCCCCTGATACACACTTCTCCGACAGGAACAGAATAGACTTTTCCCCTGCTGGGTCACTTGGCAGATATGGGATTGACACCTGTCCTCAAAGCCCCTGATACACACTGACACAGACCAGAATAGGGACTTGGCAGATATGGCGTGGTCGTGGGAGGAGGAGGATGACTTTCACCTCTTCCCCTGTTAGATTCCCGTTGTGCTGTGACATCACCCTTATACGCTGTGTAAAGCATACTTTTTAATTTATTTTGCAAATGCTGCATCCTTTCCGACTTGTAATTCGGTCACATTTCCGCCACTGTCTGCTTATACCGGGGGTCTAGTAGCGTGTACACCCAGCACAGGTCGCTCTCCTTCAGCCTTTTTATACGAGGGTCCCTCAACAGGCACGACAGCATGAAAGACCCCATTTGCACAAGGTTGGATGCCGAGTTACTCATTTCCCATTCCTCCTCCTCACACAGAGCAGAATAGGGACTGTTCCCCCTACACTTGGCAGATATGGATTGACACCTGTCCTAAGGGTCCCTGATACACACTGACACAGAGCAGAATAGGGACTGTTACCCCTACATAGGGTCACTTGGCAGATATGGATTGACACCTGTCCTCAGAGACCATGATACACTGACACAGAGCAGAATAGAGACTGTTCCCCTACATAGGGTCACTTGGCAGATATGGAGTGACACCTGTCCTCAGAGACCATGATACACACTGACACAGAGCAGAATAGAGACTGTTCCCCCTGCATAGGGTCACTTGGCAGATATGGATTGACACCTGTCCTCAGAGACCATGATACACACTGACACAGAGCAGAATAGAGACTGTTCCCCCTACATAGGGTCATTTGGCAGATATGGATTGACACCTGTCCTCAGAGACCATGATACACACTGACACAGAGCAGAATAGGGACTGTTCCCCCTACATCGGGTCACTTGGCAGATATGGATTGACACCTTGTTACAAACTGATATTTGTAACGGGCCCTTTAAATGGCAAATTGCCCTGCTTCCCTGGGTTGTGGAGAAGCCTATTTGCCAGCCTCCTCCCGCATGACTATGGCCCCTGGGAGATTGTGAAAATGTATGCACTTTTATTTGGTGTGTATGGCCTTTAAGACTGTCAGTGGGCATATTGGGGCTTATGGACTCTTAATGTGACTGGTGCTGGCCCTTTAACCCCTTAAGGACACATGACGGAAATATTCCGTCATGATGCCCTTTTATTTCAGAAGTTGTGTCCTTAAGGGGTTAAACACCTTTTTTGGGACATCAGGAAGATTGGGACACTACCCCTTTAAGGCAGTGTCCCCAGACTTGTTGGGGACACTGCCCCTTTAAGACGGTGTCCCCTATGTCCCCAGACCTGGTGCAAACCCTTTGTGCCTGCCTGGCTATTTCCCACTTGGTTCAGTAAATGGGGCTTACTGAACCAAGTACCACACAGGCAGACCACCCAGAAGTGGAAGTGTACAGGCAATTTACCCCCCAGAAGCTGCGGTTAACCGCAGCTTAATTGACAATGCTTAGAGGTCTTTGTTCGTTTGCCGAACACGTGGCGGCGGCCATCTTTGATCATTCGACGAGGTCAGCGGTATGTGTAGCCAAATTCATGGAACTAAAATCGGCTACACATTTCCGCGAACACAGCTGAGCTCTACCTTCTCCCCTACTGGTTTTACAGCTGCAGAGACTAAGTCCCATTCAGCGATGGGACTTAGTCTCTGCAGCTGAAATAAGGCTGAAAAAAAGTCTGAAAAAAAGACTAAGTCCCATTCGGCGATGGGACTTAGTCGTTTTTTCAGCCTGAAATAGGTCTTGCGGTCGGTCATAAAGGGACCTCCAGCTAACTTTTTAACCCCT